GGTCGGCTCGCTGAAAAGGCTGAGAATTTTTTTTTTTAGAATCCTCTCTATAATCTTCTCTTAATTTAAAACGTTGATTACAGCTGCAAAGTTTGAAATAGGATTTAGACATCTCATCACAAACATGATGCATAACGACTAACCACAATCATCCACCTATTGGATCCGCCACAAGTTGTGAATGTTACTCAGTCAGTGATATTATGACCTTATTGACCTTAATGTCAATATGCTGGGTTAAAATTTAAAGTGAAATAAATAAAAAAATTGTTTGGAATTACTCTGTATATCAATAAAATCATCCTAAAAATAATTACAATAACAAGATCTAATATCAAGGATGATGAGAATAGATGATTAAGAAGGGGGATCCAGTAACTGGCATTTGAAAACATAAAAGAAAATAAAAATAACCTCAAGGAAGGCTGATCATGCTACTATACTCATGCTAGTAGAGGAAGTTGAGCCTCTGGAGAACATTGAGTTCATTGACATGGTCATTACAATAATCCTGTCTCTGAACATCCCTTTTCTAATGAGGATGGCCCAGAAGAGGGTTTCTTTCTCACAAGACACAACAGAAATCCTCCTCTCCCTCCCTGTGTCAGAATGCACCATAGAGGATAAGAAGGACCTTGCACATGTAGTGAAGATGGTTTAACAAATAGTAAAGAGTTCCCCTTTTAAATTCCCTTTAGAGAGCCATGGTGGTAGAAAGGACACATATGTATCGCAGCAGACCCCGACCACCCTGGAAATTGATGGTTTGTGCCTCTACCTTCTGGGGTGCGGTTTGGAACAATAAAAACAAAAAACAAGCAAAGTGAGGCAGTTCCTATCCTTGAGCTATGACATTTGTCACTCTCCCCAACGCCACCAGCCGCCCCCAGGCATTTGTAAATAAAACCATCAAACTCTTTAGACTCAAACACCCCCTCATTCATACTAAAAGCTGAAACTGTGTAGCAATTTATAAATTGGACTAAATTCTACATTTTATTTAATTGTTGCTTAGTGTTCTGCACTACTGCCACACATTTTGTATTTATATGACAAACCTTTGTTGCTTTATGTAAACTTCATATTTCAGTTCAATTCAGTTCTATTTATAAAAGGCCAGTTTACAACATGTCATCTCATTGCCTTTAACAGAGACAATACAATCAAATAATATCAACAGGTTAAAGGTTTTCTAAGAAAAAACCAGCTGATAGCATCCGGCCATCGACAGGATCGACTCCTTCAGATTGAGCATAAAACGACAGCAGACTTGTATTTTATTATTGACTCTACACAGCAATCTCTGACATCAAGCATGCATAAAGCGTCAGTGGAGAGGAAAACTCTCTTTTGACGGTGAAAACATCCCCCAGTATCAGGCTCAGTATGAGCTGCCTGTTACTGGCAGGGGGTACAAGAAGACAGCAGCAGAAACACAAAAGGAGCAAAGAAGAACTGATTCATTAATACTTTCTATGTTAGAGAATGTAGGGGTAAAATAAATAGATGTCTGGGCTGGAGAAAGAAACAACTAAGCAGAGGAGCTCTGAGTCGGTTTTTATGTCATTTCATTCTGTTAATGCATAACAGCAAATTCCCGTGGTATAACCGTAATAACCATGGTGCACTTGATAGTTTTTTCATTGTGTTAAAGGGGAACGCTGTTTTTTTTACACTGGCCGCTTGATTTTATGCTATTACATCATGTTGTACTAACCCATATGATTTTTGTGTCATTTGGAGCCGTTCTGAAGATATTCCGTTAGGTTATATCCAAGTAACGTCTTCCCGTGAGCAACAACTTTATTTTTTTTATGGTACGCCAGCATTTATAACATGAAGGCGAATGACTGTCCCCCAGACATCCGCGGTTATATTTTTCATATTTATATTTTGTAAAAACAAAGTGGTGCATGTATGACGTCATCCGCGCGCCGGACTGGAGTTGTGACAGGCAGCCCGGGCCACAGGCGGCTACGCTCTACCCCTTATATTCATTTGGCGAGCTAATCTGAATCTTTCAATTCCATTTCAAGAGCGAGATCAGCTGTGGTAGTAGCACTAGACATCTTCCAGGCATGTGAGTAAAACTAGCAGCTGTTCATTGGAAAGGATGAATGAATGGTAGCACGTGCGGATAACATCATACGCCACTTTGTTGTAATAAGATATAAATACCGTAATATAACCGCGGATGTCTGGGGGACAGTGATTCGCCTGCATGTTATGAATGCTGGCGTACAATTAATAATAAATTATGAACAGTTTAGTTTGTGCCTTAAAGTCATTGCCCATAGGAAGACGTTACTTGGATATAACCTAATGGAATATCTTCGGAACAGCTCCAAATGACACAAAACTCATATGGGTAAGTAGAACATGATGTAATAAATTAAAATCAAGGGCCCAATGTAAAAAAAACGCCCTTCTCCTTTAATGAAACCCAGCAGGCAGATTTCTTTTAGAGAGTGAATTACGGTAGGGCGGACACAGCATCTCTGCCCTAATGTTTTCTCACTAACATTTGGCGTCGGAGTGAGTCGGTGTTCTGTGAGAAAAATTTTCTAAAGATCTCCCATTAAAACACCCTGAAAGCGTAGCATGGACAGAACTTCATAAAACTGAACTTAAAAGCCAATTAATTAATCTGAAAAGAAAGTGGCAAACAAACTCCTGCATACATTTTGCAAATAAAAAAAAATGAATTGACAACCTAAGACAATTCAATTGTCCTCATGGCTTTTTTGTGTTTACTGTTTTGTTTACCGTTCAGTAGCTGTAGTAGTTTTTCTCACACAGCTGCTTGAAAATATTTCCTCATTAAGAAGCAGAAAGTTTTTTCTTTGATCTTATGAAAAAATTAAACAGTACAGAAACAGTTTTTTCTGATAAAGTTATCCCCGATGCTAAGTTTAAATTGAATATACAGTTAAAGCTGCAGTCTGTAACATTGAGAAGAGAGCAGACTTCGACTGAAAATTTGAAGAAAAACAGGTTTCACGCCACTCCCCCACCCTCTCTGCTTCACTCATGCCCCACCTCCAAGCTCCACCCCTCTCACAGCACCTGCGCGGCTACCGCATGCGACCAGAAGCGTCCAAGCAGCGTACGCGGCATGGAGTTTGAACCGGTAAGAGCGATAACACTCACCTCCAAGCAACTAGATATAAGATGCTGGTTATACCGAAGTTTGCCGTGTAAGCAGTTGTCGGCAGGGGCAGTAAGGGCAGTTTCTCTTTCACGAGATTCAGCGTGTGTGAGCTGTGATTGACACTCCATCAGACGCTCCTCTGGCTGTGATTGGTTGTTTTGACTCGTCCCGAATTAGTCTTTCCAGATTGAAATAGAGGCAGTAGGCGGTACCAATTGAAGCAGTTTTTTTCACAGGTTACATATCACATGTACTGCTGTCTGGGCATAGGGACAGTTTTAGCCAATATGACAAAAAAGTGATTTTTAAAAACTTACAGACTTCAGCATAAGGAAAAAAACTGTTTGACCCTTGATATTTATTTGTCTACATTATACTTTCAGGTGATATACAATAGGAAATTTACAAAATGTCAGTGACTGTATATGTTCTTGCCATGCAAATGCCAAAGCAAGCCCAGAAAAAAAAAAATAAATAAATTTGAAACAAAGCATCTCGTGAATAACCTCACCCAGCTAAGGGAACTTTCATAGAGTTCGCTTTAGTGGTGATTGATGGATAATTACTTTTCCAATGTAATCCAGAATAAGGTATCTGCACATCTGTTGCACTGCTTGACATAGATTTGTACTGGTTTGCACAAATAAATATTTTACACTTTTTTTATACAAACAAACTGACGTACAGTCTACATGCAAAATCTACGACCAGCCTTCAAATATGATTCTATATTATAGTTATGTACAAATTGACACATATTAAAATCAACAGGAAAAATGTCTGCTCTTTTGGGGGAAATTAGGATTTCTGTGGGCTTTTTTAGTTAAAGTATTTAATATTCACTAAACAATACTTACTACAAATAATTATATGTCCAGGTTTTATGTTCTAAAACCTTCAAAACAGCTATTTTTGGTAGATTGTGAAAACAAGCTGATTATTCATTCTTTTTTTGGTGTTTTTGTTTTGCAATAAGCACTTAGATAAATTCCCTGCGAGGTTCAAATGGACTAACAACACAAAGCCTCCTTAAAATAAGCAATATCAGTGAATTTGGGTGATTTCTGTAAACACACTTTGAGTTCTAACCCTGCATTTCCAACAGAAATTGTTAGTTTGATTTAAATAATCTATCTAATTAAACAGTATTTGTTCTGTGTCCGTTTTTTTTAAATGAAAGTTCATTAAAAAATAAATGTCTCAGGTTTGCTTCTAACAGCACACACACATCCAGCCACTCACTGCACAAACACAGTGATAGTGACAGACAGCTGACTGCTGCTATAGGTGCAAACAGCTCTCTGATGAAAAATTACAGAGAGTCACACTATAGCACCATGCAGCGTGTCTGTTGGAGACCAAAGACTAAACAGTGTCATGGCCAGCTCAAAAATCTCATATTGCATCCAGAATTACCCGCTATGGCTTTAATATTTATTGCTTTACCCCCTTTACTTTTAAAAGGGGAAATTATAGCAGGTGCTGCAGCAGGCTCCTGCGCACCATCTGCAAACTTTATAAAGCCAGACTCCTGAAACTGCCATGCAATGCCTCTAAAGTAAATAAATATATATGGTTATTTTCAGTTTTAATTCGAACACGGGGTTATTTTCATTTTTTTTTTTTTTTAGAATTAATTTAAAAGCGAAGACTTTTAATTTTGTTTTATTTCTACCTCCACATTCTGTCGGAACCTTTTTGTAGCAAACATTATTTAGGCTACGACTTTTAAATTAAGTCTTTCAAAACCAGATAAACCGAGAAAAAAATATATATTTATATATAAAACTATTACTATGTCATCCAATCATAGGCATAACTATCGAAACATGAAAAAAAAAACGCTTACCTTGGACGTGTCAGGGACCTGATGTAAATCCTCCAGAGAGAAAAACAAAACACTGTGGAGGAAAGAATGCTCTGGATGTAGAAAGTTGAAGGAA